AAAAAAAAGAAAGAAATAGAAATGCCGCAGAATTCCTCCCTGTTGAGATACACAATGACCATGTCAGACTGTCACTGTGGTTCTGTGGCCTGCGATCCAGCGGTGTAGATGATTATTCCTACAGTCTGCTGAAGCATCCTCACAAATGCCACGCTGTTTTTCACACAGAGACAACAATGCTACACGGATGCACACATCTGCTCTAAATGTGTGCACTGTAGCTTTAAGATGATACTCAAGCTGCTCTTTTTGGGTATATATTGATTAGTACAGAAGCTAAAATGGGAGATCAGGTAAACCACAGGACATCTACTGAAGACAGTGTTTTTTTTGTTCTATTAGGCTTCCTGTGTTTTTTTCACATTATTAATTTTGTCCATGCTGATTATTATACTCAGATGTCTTAGACATTTAATTTCTTTTTCTTCTCTAGGATGGTGGGCTGCACTCCATTCATGGTGGTCTCTTACTTCTACCTTTGGTTTGTCCCACCTTTTACCAATGGGAGGTTTATCTGGTATCTGGGCTTTTACTGTCTCTACCAAACTCTCATCACAGTAAGTACTGTATCCTCTGCTTTGATGTTTTCAAAGTTGTAATGTAATTTAATGTTAAACACAGGTTAACAGATGACCCAGAAACCACATTTACAGCAACATCCATCATGCAGTAACAAATTCCCCACAGATCCATTAAAATCTAATTCGGCCTCTGTTTTACCTTGGCGAAATTTTGGTTTTGTGATGAAAAAATATATATTGGACTGATGAAAAATATATGTGGACCTTCCTCCAAAACTGTCACACAACCCAGTGACCCCCAATATATACAGTATATATATATATAAAACATAAAACTGTCTGCAGAGTCAATTGTGACATTCTGTAATCATATATTTACAATGTGTAATCATACTTTTAGTACACTGCAAAAAAAATTTAAAAAGAGAGAGAGAGTTTAAAAATACCTAAAACCAGATAAATTTACCTGAGAAGCAACACTGCACAAGATATTAGGACTTTCAGATTTTTAAGTAATAATAAGATAATGAGTTTTAATACACTACCATTCAAAAGTTTGGGCTCAGTAAGGTTTTTAAATGTTTTTGTAAGAAGTCTCTTATATGCTCATCAAGGCTGCATTTATTAATTAATAATACAGTAAAAACCTTAAAATTGTGAAATATTTTTACAATTTAAAAGAACTGTTTTCTATTTTAATATTTTTGAAAATGTAATTTATTCCTGTGATGGCAAAGCTGAATTTTCA